AACTTCCCTTTATCATATACACCCAGCGACACCGATGCCAGCTGACTGTGTACAAAACTGGTAGGAGGTAATACATTTGGGGCGAAAGTATTCAAAAATCAGTTTTTGGATGTTGCAATGGCAGTGGTGGGCCAGGATTTTTTTCCAATTAGTGACGGCACGACCTACCTGTGAAGTATGAACAAAACCAGCCGAGCCGTTGCTGGTGAAAAGTTACCCCAACTTTAGGGTCAAATTTCTCGGTAATGAAAACAGATATCAAAAATTCAAATAGTAACTTTGTGCCCACACTCAAGCTGAGTAGAATGAGCTATGTTTGAAGTGTTTTATCCCAAATTTGTAGGAGGAGATACATTTGGCGCAAAGCTATCCAAAAATCAGTTTTTTGGCTGTTGCTATGGCAACGGTGGACCAAAAAATTTTTTCAGATTTTTCCTTATAACTAGGGTTAAGGTTTGACCTACCTGCCAAGTTTGAACGAAATCGACCAAGCCAAAAAAATCACAGAAGAAATAATACGTGAAAACACTGGAAATGTACACACACAGACACACACACACACAAAACGACAAAAGTGATTATAAGGGCAATCCTAGCGGAGCGGATCGCCAATAATGACATTTGTAATAGTTGGAGTCCTTATATAAACTATAGATATGTAGGTTTATTTTAATTTTATTTTATTTTCTGTTTTTTTTTAGCACCAGGTGTACCTGTAAATTTGAAAGTGCAAGTTGTGACTTCTTCAGAACTTACTATTATGTGGGAACTGCCAGAAGAACCAAATGCTGACATTACTCACTATAATATCACAGCAATCCCATTGAATAACACCAACTGTCGCACACAATATCTGAAACCTAGGGTTAGCCCTATAACATTTCAAAATCTATGTGGATTTGAAACATACATGGTGTTGGCAAGTGCTTGCAGTGATTCCAAGATACCAACAGTGTCATGTGGAAGATATTCGTCACCGGTATATGTAACAACTACAATTGGAGGTAGGTTTTATATTATATTAATATGAGAAAAACTCCACACAAAAAAGCCAACACTACATGTATGTGTTAGATATTAGAACCAGTCAATTGGCCATTACTAGGTTTATATGTTAGATATTAGAACCAGTCAATTGGCCATTACTAGGTTTATATGTTAGATATTAGAACCAGTCAATTGGCCATTACTAGGTTTATATGTTAGATATTAGAACCAGTCAATTGGCCATTACTAGGTTTATATGTTAGATATTAGAACCAGTCAATTGGCCATTACTAGGTTTATATGTTAGATATTAGAACCAGTCAATTGGCCATTACTAGGTTTATATGTTAGATATTAGAACCAGTCAATTGGCCATTACTAGGTTTATATGTTAGATGTTGGAACCAGTCAACTGGTCATTACTAGGTATATATGTTAGGTGATAGAACCAGTCAACTGGCCATTACTAAGCATATATGTTTAATGTTAGAACCAGTCAAATGGCCATTACTAGGTATATATGTTAAATGTTAGAACCAGTCATTTGGCCATTACAAGGTTATGGTGTATGTGTTAGATTTTGGGCTTAGTAAATTGAACATCACAAAGTATGTGTTATAAGTATGTGGCTCAGCCAAACAAAACAATGTGTAATTTGTCTTTATAAATATTGGGAATAAGTAAATAAGTTTGAGAAACTCCTCAAATCAGGAATTACGTGTTAGATGTTGGAACCAGTCAACTGGCCATTACTAAGTATATATGTTAGGTGATAGAACCAGTCAACTGGCCATTACTAGGTATATATGTTAGATGTTGGAACCAGTCAACTGGCCATTACTAGGTATATGTGTTAGATGTTGGAACCAGTCAACTGGCTATTACTAGGTTTATATGTTAGATGTTGGAACCAGTCAACTGGCCATTACTAGGTATATGTGTTAGATGTTGGAACCAGTCAACTGGCCATTACTAAGTATATATGCTAGATGTTAGAACCAGTCAACTGGCCATTACTAGGTATATATGTTAGATGTTGAAACCAGTCAACTGGCCATTACTAAGTATATATGCTAGATGTTAGAACCAGTCAACTGGTCATTACTAAGTATATATGTTAGATGTTAGAACCAGTCAACTGGCCATTACTAGGTTTATATGTTAGATGTTGGAACCAGTCAACTGGCCATTACTAGGTATACATGTTAGATGTTGGAACCAGTCAACTGGCCATTACTAGGTTTATATGTTAGATGTTGGAACCAGTCAACTGGCCATTACTAGGTATATATGTTAGATGTTGGAACCAGTCAACTGGCCATTACTAGGTATACATGTTAGATGTTGGAACCAGTCAACTGGCCATTACTAAGTATATATGTTTAATGTTAGAACCAGTCAACTGGCCATTACTAGGTTTATATGTTTAATGTTAAGAACCAGTCAACTGGTCATTACTA